TAAGACCTGACCTTTCAATTTTGGAGGATTATGGTGAAGACCATGAGCTACAGATATGAAAATACTGTTAAGTAAAGGCTTTGCAACGTAAGGTATTATTTCTGCCCTCCTTTGTCACCCAGAAAAAAAAAGATTAAAATAATAAATTCCTGATCTTAACTTGTTAAATGAAAAGTCAGGTACTTTGAAGAAACCCATCATTCTTTAGGGAAGAGGATGCAGTATTAACTTGAGTCTTCAGGGCAGGAAGGGATTCAGGGATTCAAACCTAGAGCTTGCTTAAGCTGTGTTTGGCTCTGCGGGAGGGGTGCTGGTGATTGGAAGGGGCAGATGGCTTGACCTTCAGCAAAAAAATTTTTTTTAAAAATATATTTATTTATTAATTTCAGAGAGGAAGGGAAAAGGAGAGAGAGAGAGAGAGAGAGAGAGAGAGAGAGAGAGAGAGAGAGAAACATCAATGATGAGAGAGAATCATTGATTGGCTGCCGCCTGCAAGCCCCATACTGGGGATCAAGCCCACAACTCAGGCATGTGCCCTTGGCTAGAATTGAACCTGGGACCCTTCAGTCCACAGGCTGATGCTCTATCCACTGAGCCAAGCCGGCCAGGGCAGCAGAAAATTTTTAAAGGGCTGAACCGTGGGAGGTTCTAGAAGGAGCAAAGGCATCACACAGCCCCATCCCACCCCCATTCCTGTTCACTGAGGCATCAGGCCCGGGGCCTCTGGAAGCCACGCTGTGAGATTCCGACTCATGAATGGAATAATAGGATCAGAGGGATGAGAAGGATAAAGCCGTTGCTGATTATTCCTGATTAGGAGGGAGACTGGTCTTCAGTGGCCCTGATCAGTTCTATCGCTGCACTTGACCTTGGATAGCAGCCCAGTGCTAAGACGCTCAGGGAAAGCTGGGTCGTTACCTGAGAGGTACTTTGTGGTTGCTTCTGACAAATAGGAAACACACTGAGGTGACTTGCCACCAAACCAGCATGGCGTGGCACAGGCAGGCTGTTCAGAGAGGCAGACCACAGCACAGTCCTGCGGGACCTTCGGACTAGCCATTTCCCCTCTGAGTCTCTCCTCTCATCTCTAAAATGGAGGATGATAATGCTAACCTTCACAGGTTGCTGTGAAGTTAAGATAATGAGAAGATACTTTTTGTCAGTTGTTTAGTGGGCTCTAGACTAAGGTCTCAAGTACGCTTGTTGCTTCCCCAGAACAGCTAGAGGCAAATGCAGACACCTGGGGGACTCGCTCTGATTTATGTTAATCACAACTGACCTTTTCAGGCCCCAGAGAAAAGGCCATTAGGGCTACCAGCCTTCTCAGAGCGCAGAGGGAGAAAGGTGGCCCGGCAGGAGTGAGTACTATACTCAGTCCCCATCCTAAAAACACAGGCCTAGTAGGACTAAATCTGTTAGGACCCAAGCCATCATAGCCTCTCTCCCCAGCTAAGAACCCTCTGCAGTCCGCGGCTGGAGACCATTCATTTGCTGATTCACTCATTAGGATACAGGATCACAGTGATCCTACTATGTGCAAAGCAGTTTGGGAATTGGAATAGCATACCCAACTCAAAAGAGGTGTCTCTACAGCTAGAAAAAGAAGGGTGGGACAGAGCTGTGGGTTTTATTTGCATTTGCCTCCTCTACAAGGGGTGTTACTTCCCAAATTTAAGGTAAGGAGCAGAAAGACTGTTCCAAGACCCAGTGCCAAGCACTGCCCTAAGTCATGTCTATTCTGAGTTAATTTCTGGTACCATGTCTTCTCTCCGGGTGACATGTCCGCAGCTAGTCACTAAGAGGGTACTAGGAAAGGTCCTTTGCCATTCAGCTCCTTCCTTTAACATCCTTCCTCACCTGGTTCAGAGACAGCTTTTACAGTACAGGCCCTCATTGGGACACTTACTCTATAAATAACAACAATAACACTAACGAAGGCTGCCCTTTTCCCAGCACCCGCTCTGAGCCAGGCCATTTGACGTGCTGAGTCTTGTATACGTCACACAACTGTGCAAGGTAGTTTTTGTGTCACAGCAATAGGCAATGACGGCTCTGGGATCGGAACCTGCAGCTCTACTGTCTCCCCAGCCACCATCCCATGCTTTAGTCTCCCTGCAGGCAGTGAGGATGCCCTGTGAGGCCACTAGAAGAATCCTAATTGCTGTTCCCCCTAATTTAGGAGTCTATCTTGGCACCTTCACTTTGAACCCTATTCTATTACAAACATAAGGAAAACGGCCTGACACAAACCTTGGTGGTTAATCAACAGCAGCTGCAATAATAATAACATTGACAGAGCCTTTGGTCTGAACCACACACTGGTCCAAGCTCTGTACATATCACCTTATATAATCTCCCCTAAACCTGGTGAGGTACTATAAATTATCCCTATTTTGCAGATAAAGAAACAGGCTTAATGAGGATGAGTCCCTTAAAGTGAAGAAATATGAACTTGGGCCCTAGCTGGTTTGGCTCAGTGGATAGAGCGTCGGCCTGGGGATTCAAGGGTCCCAGGTTCGATTCCGGTCAAGGGCATGTACCTGGGTTGCAGGCACATCCCCAGTAGGGGGCGTGCAAGAGGCAGCTGAATCGATGTTTCTCTCTCATTGATGTTTCTAATTCCCCATCCCTCTCCCTCTCCCTTCTTCTCTGTAAAAAAAATCAATAAAATATATTTTTTTTAAAAAAGAAATATGAACTTGGGAGACATGACAAATATACTTCCCCAGGGTGATATTTTGCCTAAGCAGACCCGACCTGAAAGTGTCTGTACTCAGAAGCCCATTTCCCTTCCCTTGGTCCTGACCCTGTCTCCCCGGGCAGAAATCTAAATGCAGAAAGAAGGGCAAGGAAGGGTGGCAGCGGCAGCGCGGTGGCCGGTGCGGGTGCTTGGAGAGAAAAAAAAAAGAAGGGAAAGGAAGCCTTATTCCCCCTCGCAGGAGGCTGACACCAGTCCCAGGCCAGGCTTTGTTGTTGTTGCTGCTGTTGTGCAGAAGATGCCTGAGAGCTGTCAGCAGGAAGCCCAGACTGAATGTGCCCCAGCTTTAAAGAAAACGTCTGCAGCCCAAAGGGCAAGAGCTTCCAGAGGAGGGAGTAAATATTTGATGGGCCTCCCAGCTCTTCCTGGCTCAGATGACTCTGGTGACATTTCAGAACATGGGGCTAGAGAATATTCTCCGTTTAATGATTGAGAAAGTAGAAGTGGGGAGAAAAGCAGGCAGCTGAGAATGAAGAATGAAGCCAGATCACCAGCAAACTAACCAGAAAATGAGCGATTCTGGGCCAATAACCTACCCTTCCAAACTGCTAAACTGTAAGCTTCAAGGGCATCAGCTAGCAGACTGAAGGGTCCCAGGTTGGATTCCAGTTAAGGGCACATACCTTGAAGCTCAATCCCTGGTCCTGGTCAGGGCGAGTGTGGGAGGCAACCAATCATGTCACTCTCACATCAATGTTTCTCTCTGTGTCTCTCCCCCTCCCTTCCACTCTCTAAAAATCAATGCGGGACAGTATCCTCGGGTGAGGATGAACAACACCACCACCACACATAAAATACCCAGAACTCCAGCTACCTTGTTCACTGTTGTCTCCCTGAAGCCAGGCCAACGCCTGAGCAATGCCCTAATGCCCTACACCTGCTCACTAATACATATGCCACTGCAGCGAACTTCTCCCTCATCACGTTGGCACACTAACTCTCCCAGCTCTGCATCCACATCTCCATGATGGAGAACTGTTTCCAGCAAACTCGGAGGACTCCCCGCAGGAACAAAGCCACACGCTGGAGCCCTGTCACCCCACCACAGCAGCCCCCTGCAACCCAAATCCATGCGCAGCTGCCTTCATGTCAGACCTCCTCCGGCATCAGCCGCTGTGCAGTAGTACTCTGAAAAGGAATGCGCGGATCTGAAGCCACACACGGCCTCCTTGGAATCCTGATCCAGCCTGGCAAGCCCGGAGCTTCAAACGGCTGCTTTACGCTACTTCCTAGCACAGACAGGCTCTGCCGCCTTCCCCACACACCGTGCAGCAGCCTGGTCAGACCTCTGCATCCCCCCGCCGCACCCCCCACCCCCGCTGCCGCAGAACTGTCTCAAGGCTGTGCAGTGAGTTATTTAATTATGGGCTCAGAACCAGAGGCTATCCTGGCTTTGCTCAGGAGTTCACAGGTTCCTTTCCGCCGAGCCTCTCTCCCCAGCAGCACACCCTCAAACTGGATTACGACTAAGGGATTGTTTTTAAAGGGCAGCTGCCCAGCTGCCCGGGACCTTGAGAGAAAGGCCTAGGAAACCAAAGGAGCCACTGCTGACTCCGTAGTGACCTTTCTGACCCGAGAATGCACACCACCTCAAGCTAGGCGGCCGTGGGTACTGCTCCACATCCTCTGACTCACAACTGCCCAACTGCCATCCTAATGGCAGCCCTGAAGCAACAACCTCCGTCAAACACCCCAAAGTTCCAGTTTGAGCAGTAGCTGTACAGCCCTCCATGCCTCCAGACACTTCTCTCTTCCCATATTTTAGCTCTCCTAACTTTCCCCAGGTCTTTGTGGCCACCACAGGCAATGGTTAGGGTCCTTCATCCCCAAGCAAGGCTGTGTGCCCAAGGTCCCCCACTCTTGACCCCAAGACTCCAAACCCTTTGCTCTCTTGAGTTGCTCACTGGTGGTCTTGGCCAGAGTCCAGGGTTTCGCGCCCCCTGCTCAGAGCGCCCCTCCGTGACCCCTTCAAATCTCCAGGTGGCGTGCGGAGGTCGATCCCTCCCAGGACGGGCCCATTCTGGCAGGTGGAAGGCGGCTTTGCAGGGTGCCTCGCCCCGGAAGAGGCCGGAGCGTGGACAGCGCCCAGGGTGCTGAAGCAGGCACCGGGGGAGGCAAGCGCAGGCAGGGGCGCGTGGCTGGGGGCCCGGGCAGCAGGAGGACGGCTGTGGGGGCGCAGCCCGCGGCAGGGTCCCGAGCGCCTCTCCAGCGAGCACGGACGGACGGGAGGTGCGGCCCTTACCTGGCCGAAGGCGGAGCTGAGCATGGGGCGCAGCCGGTGGAGGAACGGGTCTGCCTCGGACGCGGCAGCTGGAGCGGAGACCCCGCGGCTCGGGGCTCGCTGCGCGCACCGGAGGCCGAGCGCCGGGGACAGCCCCCGTTCCTCCCCATCCCGCCCGCGGGCCGGCGGCAGCGGCGACTGGGGAGAAGGTCGGGACGCCGCGGCCGCCCGCAGCGCCTCCCGGGGCCTGCAGTGCGCCTGGGGGAGCCCGCAGCGGCTTCCCCGCACGCCCTCCTCTCGCGGCGCCGGCCGGCACAGGGGCCTCCGCAAACTGGGGTCCCCGGACGGCGGTGGCGTGCCGGGGCAGGTGCTGGGCAGCCGGCGGCTAGGCAGCCCTGGCTCCCGGGCAGGGCCCTGGCGGGGAAGCCGGCTGCCCCCGCTCGTCGCAGCCGCCTTCAGCAGCGACGTCTTGGACTCGCTTTTGGCGATGTGCGAGCTCATCGCAGCGGGGCCGGCGCTCGCATGGCCGGGCAGCGGAGGCGCGGTGCGGCACCGAGCGGGGCCCCCGGTGGGCAGAGAGCAGGGCGTCCGGCGGGAGCCAAGCCCGAGGACGCGCTGGAGGCGGGCGCCGTACCCGGGCCGCTTAAATGCGGCCCCGTCTCCGCCACCCATGTGATAGCGCAGCCTCTACACCCGGAGTCCCGAGCTCCCCGGTGGCTGGCGGTCCAGATCAGTGGGGGTGCCCGCCGGCTGTCCCCTGAGAGCCCACCCCCAGCTCCGGGCGGCCCAGGTACTGCCTCGCCCCGCCCCTTGCCCCGCCCAGCGCTCGAGGAGCCTCGCTTCCCGGCGGCCCCTGGCGGCTTAGGGGGCGCTGCGGCACGGAGCAGGGAGCACAAGGGAAGGGGTTTGGCCAAGGGCCCCAAAGATGTCCAGTCTTTGGTATCGCCGGAACTGGCCCTTACCACGCCTGGAGGCCCCCACGGGAAGCCAGAACCCCGGAACCTCCAGAAATGCAGGCGGGGTGCACTCCCCAGGGGATACAACTTTGGAACGGAGGATGAGAGCGGTGCAGTGCACTGAAGAGCCACGGACGATGAAGCACTCTGACATCACCGCTTACAAGCATCCAGAATGACGTGGAAGGACAGGCTCCGCTCTGTGGGTACGTCATCAAGTCCCAGGGTCACAGAGTGGGGCGGGATGACCCTGGTAAATCAGCCACAGAGTTCCCAGTTCTCGGAACAGAAGAGCAACCAGGTGGCATGCCTAACTGGATTTGCAGAGCCTGGTGATGCCCAAGTCTCAGGTAGGACCCTGTGTTGCCCCTCAGCTCCCGTGTCCCCTCTCCTTCATGTCCTTCTAGATGAGGGAGACAGTTTTGCTCTTGGTACTTGGTAGGCAGCCAGGGAGTCACAGAGGCCTGGTTTTCATGTCAACTCCCAGCTCTGCCACTTACCATCTGGATGACTTGGCCAGTGTCATCCACCTCTCCGAACCTCGTGTGCCTCTTCTGTTAAATGCAGATGATAACCCTAACTGCTTGGTCACGCCGATGACACCATGCACACAGGCCTAGCCCAGTGCTTAGAACAGGGCACCCATTCGTGAAGCTAGTTCCTTTCCCTCTTTTGAGGACCCGGCGACCACTCTCAAGGAGACTTGAGAGTTAAAGGGGGTAGGGGTGAACTTCCCAGGCTCTCCCTGTTCTGGTCTCTGGCCCTGATGCCACCCATGCATGAGAATAGGGCAAGTCTGGTCAGCCTCAACAGGAGGACAGGTGTGCTGACTGCCAATATGCTCCACATCACTCATGCCAACTGCTCACCCTTCTCTCCACTGCCCTCTTCTGGTACATACCCAGGTGCAGGGAATTAAGAAAAACAGGATGAGCCCTAACCGGGTTGGCTCAGTGGATAGAGTGTCAGCCTGTGGACTGAAGGGTCCCAGGTTCAATTCCGGTCAAGGGCATGTACCTTGATTGTGGGCACATCCCCAGTGGGTGGTGTGCAGGAGGCAGCTGATCGATGTTTCTCTCTCATCGATGTTTCTAGCTCTCTATCCCTCTCCCTTCCTCTCTGCAGAAGATCAATAAAATATATTTAAAAAACAAACAAACAGGATGGGTCTGGCTAGTATTGCTCAGTGGATAGAGCATCAGCCTGCAGATTGAAGGGTCCCAGGTTCAATTCTGTCAGGGCACATGCCCGGGTTGTGGGCTCCATCCCCAGTGGGGGTCATGCAGGAGGCAGCTGATCAATGATTCTCATCATTGATGTTTCTATCTCTCTCTCTCTTCCTCTCTGAAATCAATAAGAACATATTTTTTAAAAAGAAAAACAGGATGGGCAGGGAAAGCAACTGCCCATAGGCCAAAGTGAACAAGAGAAGTATAGCAAACTGTTCCCTGGATCACCTACTATCAGGGACTGAATTGCCATATCCAAGCTACGCAGGTGCCTATAGAACAAATACTGAGGCAGGCTGGGGTGCCACTGCCCTGAAGCCTCACTGCAATGTCCACTCGGATGTGAAGGGTGTAAAGGTTCCCCCACTCAGAGTCTGGGGGTCAATCAGTGTCTTACCTGTTCCAGCCTCAGAGTAATCAGTGTTGGGCAGGATTAACAACAAATGTACATTTCGTGTAAATCCCAGGAGATAAAGTCCTTATCAGAATCCCTCAGGAGCTGATGAGATGCAATGGGCTGAAGGGTATTGTTAATCCCTGCTGTGCCACTAGAGCAGCGGTTCTCAACCTGTGGGTCTCGACCCCTTTGGGGGTCGAACGACCCTTTCACAGGGGTCGCCTAAGACCATCAGAAAACACATATAATTACATATTGTTTTGTGATTAATCACTATGCTTTAATTATGTTCAATTTGTAACGATGAAAATACATCCTGCATATCAGATATTTATATTACGATTCATAACAGTAGCAAAATTACAGTTATGAAGTAGCAACGAAAATAATTTTATGGTTGGGGGTCACCACAACATGAGGAACTGTATTAAAGGGTCGCGGCATTAGGAAGGTTGAGAACCACTGCACTAGAGGTTATCTTTCTGAAATTCCCTAAATAGTCTGGGCAAGACCTCTGTCCGTAACTGATTCCTGAAAAAGTGAAAAACCTGCTTACATCACCTATGAAATTAGAGAAAATAAACCAAGATTATGTTCATGGAGCGAATGAATGAGGCATATGCACACAGATCCTGGATAATCCTGGATATGTGCCAAGATTCCATTTCATTTATAAAATGTGTTAATTTGGTCATTCACTTAACAAATATTTCTAGAACTAGGCACTGTGTTAGATACCGAGGAACAAAGATTTATCCAGTCATTCAATAAATACTTGAGTGACTGTTGTCAGGCACCGTCCTAAGTACCATGGACATACTAGTACATGGTGATGAACAAAACAGTCTCCATCCTCAGCAACAAATAAACTCTATAAACGCATGGAAAATTAATGGTGACAAACTGTGGCATGTCGTGCTGAGAAATAAAGCAGGCAGGAGAGGAGGGCTTCATGGAGAGCGCTACTGTAGACAGTGATTGGGGAGGGCCTCTCTGAGAGGGGACATTTGAGCAGAGGCCACAATGAAAGAAGGGAGCAAGCCATGCGTATACCGGGGGAAGAGCTTTCCTGGCAGAGAAGAGACAGTTCAGAGGAGGGAACCTCTCGGCATATTCGAGGAGAAGCAGAGACAATGAGGCTGGACTGAGCAAGGGGGGAGGGGTGGGAGAGATGAAACTGGAGAGGAAAGCAAGGGCCAGAGCGCCAAGGGCTTTGTCCCCCCACCCCACCCCCCACCCCCCACCCCCGAGTCTGAAGGGAAGCCACTAGCAGGTGTGTGGCAGAGGAGTGGCATATGGTTGTTTACATTGTTAAAGGATCATTGGCTGCTTCACAGCAAGTCTGCTGCTGGATAGCAGGGTGGCAATACGGAGCCAGTCAGGTGCTGTCACATGGAACAGGTGAGAGAGTGACAGCTTGGACTAGAATGGCCGTGAGGGGGGTGGGAAGAACTGACCAGATTCAGGAGCTATGTAAAGAATTACAGTAAGACTTAGTCCCTGCTCTCAAGGAATTTGCAACAGCAACAACAAATAACAAAACCCACCATAACATAATGGGAATGACATGCTAGGTCACATGGAATCACCAATGCAGAACCTTTAGGGAAGTTGGAGAAGGCTTAGAGAAGGTGACATTTGAGCTGCATTTTGAAGAAGTGAAAGTCCGCCAGGTGAATAGGGAAGGTAAGAGGAAGGTCACTTCAGGCAGAGGGAACAGCTTAAGTGGAGGCTTGGGAGTGTGACACTGCATAATGGCCTGGGGAGGAGGGTAATAAGGGCTGAAAGTCAAGCCTAGAAAGATGGTTGGAACCAGACTGTGAAGGATCCTGAAGGTGATATTCAGGAGTTTATCCTTTTTTCTATAAACAATAGAGAGTCCTTGAAGGCTTTATGCGTATATACAGGACGTTAGCAGAACTGTGTTGTTGAAGATAATGCTGACTCATTGTGGAGTAGACTAGAAGGACGCTAAAGACAAAACCAATTAGGAAATTAGGTTCATTCATTTAACAAAACTGACTGAATACCCACCATGTGGTAGGCATTGGGAACAGGGCAGTAAATAAGTAAACACAGTGCCTTTCTTTATGGATTTTAAGTCTGGTGCAGAGGTAAGGACAATGTAGAGGCTGGCTCAGACTCAGGAAATAGTTCAGAAATACCATCATTACGACATAGAAAGTCTTGGGTATGGAAATGCAAACGGCCTCTCTGTGAGATATAATGGGAATATAGTAACTGCAAAGTGTCCTGCCACATAGAAACAATTTTTAAATAATGTTTTTGGGTTGTATATACCTTTATAGCTTTAAAAGCATTTTCACATAAAGCCTCTCACTTGCTCTAACTGGTTTGGCTCAGTGGATAGAGCGTCGGCCTGCAGACTGAAGGGTCCCAGATTCGATTCCGATCAAGGGCATGTACCTTGGTTGTGGGCACATCCCCAGTAGGGGGTGTGCAGGAGGCAGCTGATCGGTGTTTCTCTCTCATCGAGGTTTCTAACTCTCTATCCTTCTCCCTACCTCTCTGTAAAAAATCAATAAAATATATATTTATATACACACACACATATATATATAAAAGCCTCTCGCTTGCCTTTAAATGTTATACAAATTGTAATTATTAAATAATTGTCATTATTTGACTGTATAACCTTGGGTGAAAGAAGCGCTATTTTGCAGATGTTGGAAAGACATCCCATAGACAAGGGCAATAAAAGAGAGAAGATGGGCCTGGGACCACAACATCAGTCTAGAGCAGTGGTTCTCAACCTTCTGGCCCTTTAAATACAGTTCCTCATGTGACCCAACCATAAAATTGTTTTCGTTGCTACTTCATAACTGTAATGTTGCTACTGTTATGAATTGTCATGTAAATATCTGATATGCAGGATGGTCTTAGGCGACCCCTGTGAAAGGGTCGTTCTACTGCCAAAGGGGTCGCGACCCACAGGTTGAGAACCGCTGGTCTAGAGAGATCAGTGTGTTTAGCTGTCTTCATGTCTCATTTCTAAGAGAATCCATTCAGAAGGAGGAAGACAGGGTTAAGGACAAAATTCCTAAAATGTACAGGGGTCTCTCATTGAACAGGTCGCAGTTTAATAATGTCACAGCCCTGTAGCAAACTCCTTTAAAAACCGACCTTTCCTGACCAGGACTGTCTTACTCCTTCTGAATGGAAGGAGTTTAGTCTTGAAAA